AAGTGTAGCTGACATGTGTTGTCAAGTTGAATGAGTTGAGTGTTTAGAGATTACTTTGAAAAAATGACTAACATGAACTGTGTCATTATCAATGGCTTGTTTTTTGTTTTCATGTTAATTTATTTTCTCCATGCAGCTGTGTTGGCAAAGAAGGAATCTGGTCCAGGCACACGGCAGATGAAAGAGGCATTATTTGAACATGAAGTGAAACAAGATGTTTTATCAGAGAGGAGAAACCAACTTAGATGGTAAGATCATACAGATGCTTATCAATGACTGAGTAGTGGGAATGTAATTTATCATGTATTCTTCTGCCCCAGTATGTAACTGTGACTAAACAAGGAGGTGGCATGAATGGACATTGGAGAGAGTCTCTTGTAGAGAAAAGTAATATTTTTTGACCAGTACATGTATTTTCTATTTTTTCCCATAAAAAGGTTAAGAAAAATAAGTGTAAACTCATGGACATGTAATGGTTTCGGCATATGAGCCATGAACACAAATCCAGTCATGTTATGGTGTAATGTGTGTGACCAACAAGAGACTGTGGTTTAACAAATTTGTACCATGGCTGTCAGGAAGTTCAAAACTTTTACCAATTAAATTGTGGCTGTGAATATGTGTAGCTTAATTTGTCCCCAGCATAATTGTTGTTGGTTCTTTGATCTGCCATTTAACCAGGTTACAGCATATACATGTAACCACATAAATTCTAGAATGCCATTGGCCAACTCAAAACGATTCTATATGGTTTCCTCAATAGTGGCACATTGTACTATTTTTATGTACTATATCAATCTGATTAAAATCTGATGTAGTGTACTGGCTTTAATTATTTTGGCTATGAACTTATTTTAATTTTATTTGTTATTACTTTTGTTATTAATGCTTTTTTAGTCCCTGTTCGGACGCAGTCCGAAAACGGGGACTTATGTTTTGACCTCCGTGTGTGTGTGCGTCTGTGCGTGCGTCCGGACCTGTATCTTAGAAATGCCTGGACCAATCACAATCAAACTTCACACACACATCATACATGATAGTATACATATGCACGTCAATTTGTTTCACGATGTGATTCAAGATGGCCGAATAGCGGCCATTTTTGTGCTGAAAATCATCAAAAACAAGCATTTCTCAGCCATTAACAAAATAATGGATTTTGTTCAAACTTGGTATATACATTAGACATTATAGGTCCTTGATGCACATCATTTTGTTTTACGATCTGATTCAAGATGGCCGAATGGTGGCCATTTTTGTGCTAAAAAATCATCAAAATTAAGCATTTCTCGGCTGTTTACAGATGGATTTTGTTCAAACTTGGTATATACATTAGACATTATGGGACCTTGATGCAAATAATTTTGTTTTTCAGATAAGATTCAAAATGGCCGACTTGCGGCCATTTTGTTTTAATGAATGTGGTTCTCGTGCCATATCTCTGACTTGCTTTCACTGATTATATTCAAATTTTAAATTTTCATTATACATCATGTCATAGATAGACAGATATATTGGTTTGACGATCCTATTCAAAATGGCCAAATGGTGGCCATTTTTGTGCTAAAAAATCATCAAATATAAAGCATTTATGGATGGATTTCGTTCAAACTTGGTACATATGTTAGACATTACAGGTTCCTGATGCACATCATTTATTTTTCAGATCAGATTCAAAATGGCTGTCTGGCAGCCATTTTGTTTTAATGATTGGGCTTCTAGAGCCATATCTCTTACATGCTTTGACTGATTATATTCAAATTTTATATATTCGTTATACATCATGTTATATATATATATACATGTATTCAAAATGGCTGATTTTGAATGCTGTTCCAGAGCAATATCTCTCAATTTTCAATCATTTTAAAAAGTCATATTCCTGACATGGTTATATTCCAGCTATATTACTATAAACAAAACTATATATCTTAAATTTGATAACTAACGGGGACTGTGCCATGCATGGCTTGTTATTTTATTATTTTACTTTGATTTTGTGATTTTTTTTAATTTCGCCCTACATACATTTGACCCTATGCCAAAATAATTAAAGCCTGTACACTACATCAGATTGGTACTATATATGATATGACTGGAAATGTTGAATTCCCTTCACATTTTGCACTATCCTTTGTCATTAGGCAAGTGCATTTAGGACGGGAGCAAATAACTTCATTTGCTAGAATGGACATTATTGATGCCAGAGTTGAAGCTGAACGTGAATATCATGTAAGTTTTCTGAAAATTAGCAACTGTGCTTGTAGTTTTATTATTATTTTATTTCATTAACATTCAACAGTAGTCTATACTATACTGGTGAGGGCTTTTGACAATAGCATAGTGTAACACATACTGTACTTGTGGGGTGGTGGGGGGTGTTGTACATGTACTTTATGTGGTTATTTATTTTGATCAGTTTCAGAGAGGAGATCCATTGGCTGACATTGAATTTAACAGAGCTTGCACAGCATGTACTCAGAAGCGAACACGCCGAAGGCTTGGCTATGTACCTGACATTGAAGCCAAGTTTGATACTTATACCAATGATCCATGGGTTCTGAGACACAGAGCAATAGGAAGGTTTCAGCAAGCTGCATGGAAAGTCATTGTGCGGTTACGTGTTAATAAGCGCATCAGGCTTGTTAAACAACTTGTTGTTGATTATCGTGCTGGAAGGGCTGGAAGGGAGCCTTCAGGTGAGTTCTAGTAATATGTCAATTCTTTGGAAGTACAAATTCAGATGATGTATGAACAATGTCTTGGCTGCTGTGAAATTTATTCAAATTTTTGACAGTTTGTAGCTGTAAAGCTGTATTGCCACCAATATTTTATTAGAAGTCTTTTTGCAATTTTTCGAAAATGTATCTACACTTTAGATGAAATGAATAATGTCAACAACATTGACCACATTCCAGGTTATTGATGTCACATTCAAAGAAGGTGCTACTGCCTTCATGTATACTTTGTCATATTCTGCAGTATTGTGGTAAATTTAAATACAGTATTCCGGTATTTGCAATATATCTGGGTCAGATAACTGAACATACCTGATTTTTTCGTGTCAATTCCACTGAACTTCAAATCATCAAATTTCAAATATTTCCAAACGATATATAGTCATGTGCATGTAAATTATTTTTGAATTGTTTATCAAGAGAAATCTTTTTTTTACCTTGCCCATGTCATCAAAGATGGAAGGGAAAGGTATATTAGTAAATTTAGGGAAACATTTCTGTCCGTCGTTGTCATCGTCATCATTAATACCATACTTCCCCGAGCATAAGCCCCTCCCTGAGTATAAGCCCACCCTCTGTTTTTAGACATTTAACAGGTTGAGGGCATCCCCGAGTATAGGCCCAGAGTGTTTTTACCGGGTGTCAATGATATTTATCACAAATATGCATGTAAAAAGTGTATTTCATTGAATAATAATTGTTCCTGCTTTTACGAGAAAACTCGCATTAATTTCTGAGTGCATGGCCGGCAAACGTACGGAACATGGTTCGGATCTTTTCTATTCTGTTATTTACTCAGGATGAACCCCGATGTTGCAATACTGAAGCAATCCATATTTCTTCTGAGTAGTAGTTTTAGAAATGCCAAAAATGTGAATGTCAAGTTGTGAAACCTGATCATTGAATATCGTTTTACTTTTCCCAATAATCGTGTCCATTGAGACTATCATGAATGGGGTGTGAACGAGCAAACTATTCTTTGACATGACTTGTTGGAGACCGTGAAAAGTTTAAATACTTCTTCCACCCTCAGTTTATCTTTCTAAAATTGAGAATCAACAGCTTTAGGGAAAAAATCACCATTTTTTTTTGTCCAAATCAGATCGCATTTTAACATTCACTTCCGCATTGCGTTGACAAAATCAGGAAAACTTTGTCTGTATGACACAGCATTTTGATTGGTAAAGGAAAGACGTGACCTGTTAGGTCAAAGGAAGTTGTTCAGATCAAATCATGATGAAAAACACCATGGCAGAAATTGCATTTCACAATGAAGATATTAATGATAAAAAAAAGTTTTGCCTTCGACTGTTTTCCCACAGACCCTACCCATTTTTGCACCGCAATTTCAGACGGTATGTAAACCGTATTGTAATAAACGTGTGTATTTTTATGAACATGTTTGTTTCTTCGTTTTAAAAAGTGTTGTGGAAATCAAAAAGACGTAAAATTTCTCAGAGACCAACGCTGTCAACAAAAAATGTAATTTGGATAATTTTTCATGGTTGGGAAGATGGTTACAATTTTAAACCCCCCAAGAAATTATCTTTTCTGAGGTGGTCCTCGAGTATAAGCCCACCCCCTAATTTTCCTGATTTTACATGTTCAGGCCCCTGGGCTTATACTCGGAGAAGTATGGTAATTGTTATTGTGTGCACTTTACTAATTCTGTTCCAAACTTATAAAACTTAGTCAGTATAAAGTCTTCCCTTAGTATGAACGACAAATGTCCTGTATGAAAAAATTGCTTTTTTTAAAACAATTTTAAGAAACACAATGTTTAAAAAAAAACACTTTTTAAAACCTTGATTCATGAAATAATTTAGGATTAGTCACGATATATCATTTGTTCACCCTATGTTACATTTGTACCAGCCAAGAATTTGAAATTTGGCCTAATATCTCAACCCCTAGAAACCAATGGTAAAAACGTTATAATACTGACAAAATTGCCGCTATTCTGACAACATCACCATTATTTTTGGTTTACCTTGTAATGAAGTGAAGGGAAAGTCCTATTTTTAGCTTAATGTGCTTTTTTCTCCAAATTATTATTTTTTGCCTATTTTCAGCATTTTCTTTGATTTTTTCATTATGTTAAACTTTATCAAAGGCCCTTTAACTTTTTGCTCAATAACTTCTTATGTTTAACATTTTTAATGAAACAAATATCTACTAAGATTATAACTGCCAGCTGTTCATGGTCAGTGGTGGTGTCAATTAGGGCTAAACCATAAAGCAAAATAGGGAGAGATGTGCAGTCATGATTTCTTACAATTTAACTTTTCTAATTATGTTGATCGGTAAATTTTGTTGGTTTTGTGAATGCGAACACTGGTGTTCTTATTGGCTCTACAACAGTGTATTTCTAATCCGTATCAAATTGGTTTCAGCCAGTTACTGATACATTGTCTTCCATAGATGACAGTCATTGTTTTGGTGTTATGTAGTGGTGCTTGCCTTTATAAAACAACAATCTCAGTCACTATAACTAGCAGTCAAACATAGGGGTTATATCAATCCAGATTATAGAGATTACGTATTCTGGTTTGGGTTCTAGCTGGGGTTCTAGTTTGAAAGATTTGCGATAGTTTTCACATGACTGAAAGTTAGAATGCTCTCATGTCTTTTGTATGTTGTGACAGTCAGGCACAGAAATATCAATTTGTTTTGTGAACCCTTTGAATAAATAGTGGAAATAAAATTAATAACCAAGATTAATGAAACAATTCCATTCATTTTTACTGATACAACCTTTAATGGGTGGATATGGTTTTTGCATTCCTCTGTCGTATGGCTAACAAGCTCACACACACTTGGGCACTTCCGCTGTATGATTTCAGGCTCCAAAAAACATATAAAGTTTAATAGACTATTGCAAAATGAATGAATTAGGGTTTCATTTATGAGTTCTACTGTAATGAAATGTTCTAGTGGGATGGTATCCATGCTCATGCTTTTTCAGAATCTTACGATATAATTTTTTTTATAGCGACCTATGGTGACAATAAAGATGTGAATATTAAAGATTTACCATTGCATATAACAAGAGAAAATGTTTTACCATACGCCTTCCCTACTTACACAGCACCAAATGTTAAAGATGACATGGTAAGTTACATGAGCATTCAATTGTAGAGGAGCAAACAAGTGTTGTACTTATCTACTATGACAAATACTTCTTTTCAGAAAAGATACTTAGCCTCATATTCAAATGAAAACTTCATAGTTGGTTTGACAGGTTCATTTGAAACATAATGGGGCAGTTTCTTAGAATTCATTATTCTGTTTTCTATTTCACAGGCTCCAGATGCACTTGGTTCAGTCCCATATAAACCAACAGAAGTGTTTGTGAAGAGAAAAGTTCCATATTCCAGTCTAAAGGTGTGAATTACTTCCTTATTTCTAAGCTTGGGGTCTCAACATTTAAAATGGGGGAGAGTTAGAGGTGGGCTTTTCCCGAGGACCAACTTAAAAAAGATTTTTTGTTTAACCTTGTAACCATAACACTGCCCACAAAAAATTAATCAAATAACAATTTTTGATGACCATGTGTAAGATTAGAAGGAAAAAATAAATCTTCATCATTATTGTAGTTTTCAAATTTTTT